CAAAAATGACATTGTTTTGGCGAACAATTCAAGATGATTACTATCTTAATGTATATGGAAGGATTATAACAGTTGACACTAGTTAATATCAACCACAATTTGATTCTTGTCATAATAACAAAGTTGAATGGCCTTTAGACATTTAGCTCCAAGTTGAAAGGAAGAACCTGTCCTTGGGGATTTACCTATCATATCATTTAAGTATGCATTCAAAAGGATAGGATGAAACGCGACATAGGAGATTAAACAGTAGCTTCAGCCTTCAGCACAGATCCGCTGAAGCCTAAAACTAATCAAATTTTACCATTATTGTAAAAATAACGTGAAGTAAAGTGAAATCTCTTCAAATTAACACATACACACATTACTATTACTTTACTACTATACTATATACTAGTTTCAGGATATGTGCCGACTGAAAGATTTTATTTATTTATAAAAGATTACATAATATTATTTTAAAATTTATATTTAAGTTATAAAATAAAAGTTAGTGAAAAAATTATAAAATATAAAACTGATAATTGTTGCTTCTATTTTGCTAATAATGTAAATAATTACTACTAAGAATTATATAGCAAATACGAATAGAATATTATTCATAATGTAAGATTAATTAATGAAATATGAAGAAATTACCAAATATTGTTCCATTGGTTTGACTACCTCTTCGAACGAAACGAAACTGTTTGAAAAAGCTATCAGTGAAAAATTGATTGTTGCATTTTTTGACTATAGTATTATTATGAAACACAATCTTAAAATTTTTTGTACACTAATTAAAAATTAGAGATTACGATCATTTATGCGGTAAGTTCATGATGTAACGGATATTGCCTTATTCTAAATGTTACTTTCACATATTAACTTGATCAGTGAAAAATATAGCTTGACCCTTTAAGGAGTTTTATTATAATTCAATATCAGGACTAAGTATAATTCGAAAAATATTGAATATAATACAAAAATGAAAATAATATTACCTCCTCATATAGAAATGTCAGAATCTACCTAAGGCCTTCGATTTGTTGCATTTTTAAATTCTTTAACTACTCCATAATGAATAAGTAAGACTTTTATTACCCTTTAAGAATCAAATTTGCTCAAAGTGTTAAGTAGCACACATTCATTCGCAAATTCAATTTCAGTTACCATTGTGAGTATATGAAATCAAATGCACACAAGTGGTTTAATACGAAAAAGGCAGTAAAGTCATCAAAGTCAATCAAAATATATAAAAAAATTTATTTAAAAGAAGATTTAGATACTTGGACCAATAATAAAGATTGCTAATGCAGTAATGTATTTTAATCCAACCAGAATGCGTTACTATTAAATTTGAGGATTGATATGCTTTTTATGACATACAAAAACACACCTCAAAGTTAAGGATTAATATGCTTTTTATGACATATATGCAAGAACACATCTCATTTATCAGGCATAATTTTTACGTATAGTAAAACCAACTTTCCAATAGTATCATAAATATCATACAAAACTAAAGCAGTTAAATTAGCATATAGTTTATGTAATTCAATATTACGGAATACCTCAATCTCAAAGCTCAAAGAGTAAAAGGAAAATCATAGTTGAACTGCAGTAAAGCTATATAACTTTCAGAACATAATAAATTACACCATAATAAAGAGATTGTATACAATATTATTTATGAGAACGATAAGGAGAATTGTTTACTTGAACTAATAAAAACTATCAAAATTTTGGTTAGGTGCAAGGACACCAATTGCCAAGAGCTTCTTTAATAACAAAATTTTAAAATTATGATATGTATAATATAGTCAATTAAAAGAGGTAATCAAGTTTAATTTTTCCTTACAAAATATGAATTACTTGAGCTGACATAACAATTAGTAATTAAAACTATCTATAGAGTGAAAATAATTTTAAATTAATAAAATATTAATTGATATGAGTTAGAATGCCAAACCAATTTTACGTGATGAATACACCTAGCCAAATAACCTGCACAACATTCATAAATGAGTCAATTTTATGCCAGTGATCAGATATGAGACACTAACCAATAATCATATATGAGACATTATAAATAAAATTACAATTGACAAACTTTCGAGTAGAGTTGTTTATCAATTATCAACAATGCACGGACAAATATATGTTTAGACACTAAAGAACAAAATCACTTTGTTTTTAAGGCAAAGTAAATTATCATGCAACAATTCTATATAAAAAAATATTGTATATCAAAAGGAGAAGATTTTAGGAACAATCATGTAGTAGCTATTTATAACGGCAAATTGGAATAAAATAAAGGAGAAAATCTTAAAAATATTGACTTGCACGAACAACCATTATTATAAAACTTCAACAAAATAGTATAGGGTAAAAAATTTATATCAAATCACAAAAAAACTTTCTTATGCAGACATCGATATTATAAACATCTTATGATAAAGAATATAGAATAAGGACTACTTATATTAAAAAAAAGTGCTAGCTTCTCCTAATTCTAGACTGTTTGGTTCTAAAATTCTAGAAACCTAAAGTGAATCTAAAACCTAAACAAAGTGAAGACACAAAGTATTGACTGGTAATTTAAAAATCCTAAACCTACGATCAGTAACAACAACAACAACAACAACGACCCAGTATAATCCCACAAGTGGGGTCTGGGGAGGGTAATATGTACGCAGACCTTACCCCTACCCCGAAGGGTAGAGAGGCTGTTTCCAGGAGACCCTCGGCTCAAAAAAGCAACAGGAGCCGATATATTAGTACCATAAAAATGCATAATAAAATACCAGCAATATAAGAGATATGAAATACAGAATACGAAATACGAAATAGATGGTTGGTATAGTACAACTAGCAGGTAAAGCCCTGCATCAATAGACGACCAATGACATTCTTAGTCTAACTCCTAACTGGCTAGTCTCACTCTATTGTGCTGTAGAAATATTCACAACTTTCCCCTAACCTACAACCTTAATGCTCGACCTCCATAATTCCCTGTCAAGGGCCATGTCCTCAGTAATCCTAAGTCGCGCCATGTCCTGTCTGATCACCTCTCCCCAATACTTCTTAGGTCGCCCTCTACCTCTCCGCGTGCCCACTACAGCCAGTCGCTCACACCTCCTCACCGGTGCATCAGTGCTCCTCCTCTGAATGTGCCCGAACCATCTGAGTCTTACTTCCCGCATCTTGTCCTCCATGGGGGCCACGCCCACCTTCTCTCGAATATCTTCATTCCTAATCTTATCCATCCTTGTATGCCCGCACATCCACCTCAACATCCTCATCTCTGCTACTTTCATCTTCTGGATGTGTGAGTTCTTTACCGGCCAACATTCAGTTCCATATAACATGGCAGGCCTAACCACTGCTCTATAAAACTTACCTTTTAGTAACGGTGGCACTTTCTTGTCACACAAGACTCCCGACGCTAACCTCCACTTCATCCACCCCACCCCTATACGGTGTGTGACATCCTCGTCAATCTCCCCGATGCCTTGNCAGCTCTGGACATCACCTTTATTCTTATACAACGGAACCATTGTACTCCATCTCCACTCTTCAGATATCCTATTAGTCTTGAATATAACATTAAACAATGCAGTAAGCCATTCCAAGCCTGCTCTACCCACACACCTCCACAGTTCAATCGGAATTTCGTCTGGCCCGGTAGCTCTTCCCTTTCTCATCTTACGCATTGCCTCTATGACTTCATCGATCTCAATGTCCCTACAATTACTTAATTCATGGTGACTGTTGGCATTCCTCAATTNAGTATAATATCTTGATCCCCTTCTTCACTTAGAAGTTTATGAAAGTAGGTCTGCCACCTTCTCTTTATCTGGTTATCTCCCATCAAAACTTTGTCGTCGTCATCTTTTATGCACCTCACTTGGTCCAGATCCCGAGTTGTCCTCTCTCTCGCCTTAGCGAGTCGGAATAACTTCTTCTCCCCACCTTTGTTCCTTAGTTCTTTATAGAGACGAGCAAAAGCTGTCGTCTTAGCNGGCATTCCTCAATTCCCCAAGTATAATATCCTGATCCCCTTCTTCACTTAGAAGTTTATGAAAGTAGGTCTGCCACCTCCTCTTTATCTGGTCATCTCCCATCAAAACTTTGTCGTCATCATCTTTTATGCACCTCACTTGGTCCAGATCCCGAGTTGTCCTCTCTCTCGCCTTAGCGAGTCGGAATAACTTCTTCTCCCCACCTTTGTTCCTTAGTTCCTCATACAGACGAGCAAAAGCTGTCGTCTTAGCCTCCGTCACTGCCATCTTCGCCTCCTTCCTAGCTACCTTATACCTTTGACTGTTCGCTCTCTTCTCCTCCTCGTCAGTGCTCCCTACTAACCGCAGGTAAGCCGCCTTCTTTGCTTCCACTTTACCTTGGACAACTACATTCCACCACCAATCAGTAAATTGAGACTAAATTGAATCCTAAACCTACACCAAAGAGACAATGTAAATTGAATTCTAAACGGACACAAAAGGGACAATAGACGGTAGACCAACACAAAAGGGACAACGAAAAAAAAATACCATAATTTTAAAAAAAGAATTTTAAGAATCCTAAAGCTAAAGGAAACAAAAACAAAAGAATCCCAAACAATTATAAACTCTAAGCAAGTACACGGCAATGTTATTTTTTCTCCCAAAATAAAAAAATAGTTATTATAATTACAATTTTATTCAACATATAATGTATTTACTAAGGGTAAAAAAGGCGAACGACATTTTGATAAAACCTTCGTGATAAATAAATATAGATATAGATATAGATAAATGGCTAAGAAGGGACGAACACTCTACAAAAAGAAATTGTACTTTCAAGATATTCTTGAAATTGTTAATACATTCAGGGGTAAGATGGTACATTCGTCTCTCCATAGAAACACGTACAACACAAGTGTAAGAACACGTGTGTTGTTCTCCTCCCGGTAAAACACGTTTATCATATAAATAAACATAGATACTAAACCTTTTTTTCTCTGAGGATTACGAATTTAGTAGTCGGTGGTGTTCTTCCATGTCCGTCTCCTATTTTTCTCTCCGGTTCTCCAAAATTCAAGCTAACTACGTTGAGTGTTGGTTGGATTTTCCGAGGTCTTAGCCCATTTCTATTGGTGTAAGCATAATTTGGTGGGTACATATGAGTTCCTATTCTTTGGATATAAATTTCTGCCGAAAGTTTTCAACTATATTCTTCGTTGTCTTTGGTCTTTGTTTCAATTGCGACATAAATTGGTGAGCATGTGAAACTTTAATTTTAATATTCTGAGCGATTACTGACTTAGGAATCTTCATTCTGCTTTGAGGTTCTCTATGGATTTGTGCCTTTTTCTTCTTCTTCTTCTCCTCCTTTTTGTTCAATTAAGTGTATTATTTTGTATTTGTTTATGGCGGATACATATTTGTTTTTCTTTTTTGTCTTACTGTAAGTTTCATTGTGAATTTTGTACATGCATTTGATTATTTGTTCAAATGCCTCTTGAAAAATCTCCGAATAGGTACATGCTCTGTTGAAGCACTCCTGCATACTGATGTAGCTAAAGTATTTGATAATATGCCTAAAACAACTTTTTTATTAGCTTTTGAAATAAAATTCATTTGCTTACTTTTCGAAAAAAATATTCAGTTGCTTCCACGTATGTTTCTATTGCAATATAGCAATCTAGCTTTGTTTTAATTGAAGTTAGATATAAGGAAAGGCACTTATGATCCCCATGTTTTTATTGCAGTTCGAAGTTAATTTGGCAAGAGAATAAGGTGAATGGGTCCAGAAATTGATTCAATAACATGTTGATTCTTGCACAGTTTTGAATAGCATTATGATACTGAAGAGCAAAAGATTAATGTACGGAAGAGATGTGTTGTTGTAGGATGAAAGCATGGTAAAAAATAGTATAAATACAGTTATTTAATAGCATTGAAGTCATGGTCAAGAAGGTGAGTGATGGATTATAATAAGCCGCGAAAACAATTCCAGTATCAAAATCACATGTAATCTAGACAATTAGCATAAACGGAATTTTACGGGTTACCTCTTGAAGCGTGAACAAAGCTCCTTTATCACGTGAGCTTTCAATTCCACAGCAACTCAATGAATTCTCCACCACCCGCACGATCACGGTTTTCGAACGTTCCACGATCTTCTTCTATTGTGTTACTCAAATAATACCCGAAAATAGCAATTTCGTGTGGGCAAAATTTTCTAAGGAAAAGGGGCTGAAATTCGGCCACCATGTGCTCTTCCTCTAGGTGGAAAACCTTATGTATTTATAGCACATGTTTTAAAGGTTAAAATCCTTTTCCAAAACCTGTTGGGTTTTCTTTTCCACCAGAAAAAAGATTCCTTTATTTCCTATTATTTAGGCACAGTAGGGACCACATAACTTAATTAACAAGGTTTCCAATTATGGAATTAATTTGTAATTTTCGAAATTAATATCCACCATAATTAATTACGAATTACTCCACTAAAAGTTCGTAATTGCACTCCTTATTCAATTTCGAAATTCATCCATTAAATCTTATTTAACTCCCCATGTTAAGATTCAGATACTAATTAATTAAATTAAATTACTCACGATTTAAGTTATTGATTATTTTCTTTAGACTTTCGTTTAACTTATTTCATGTGTCGGATATAAAATTCATCGGTCGGTTTACACATGAAAACTTATAACCTTTCATAAAGGTGTATCATCAATCTCTAAACCAAGACATGGATTCCATCAACTAATTATTATTTCGTCAATGTACATTATTATTATTATCCAATGTACCAGGCATATTGACCCACGAAAGAATCTCACCCTTTAATAAATCAAAATAATAATAATAATGTACAAAACTAATAATAATTATATCAAGATTAAGAGTATAAGTACATTTAATGGCTAGAGAGTTTATTTTATTAAGTCAGTATAAAATATTTATCTCTACTTGGTCCGTTCAATACATACAAAATATACTTGCACAAGAAGTTGAAATTAAACCATTCCCATAATCAAGATAAATTATATTTAATCTTGTGCTACAATCATTCCTGATGGTTTGTCCAATTCCATCATTAGATTGTGAACTCAAGCTTTATACTTATAAGAACCGATGATTTAATCTTTCGTGTATAAGCTAAATTCTATGCACTAAATCATCTAGTATATAAGTAAAGGATACAAACTAATATATGATCTATTTAAAAGTTTATTAAAACTGAATAGACAATTGTTTCATAATAAATATTATATCTAAACCAAACCCATGATTAATAGTATATATCCCAACAATCTCCCACTTAGACTTTTAACCATGACAATTATTAGAATATACTATATCCAAATGCATGGTTAATAGTATATGCCCCAATACTCACACTTAGACTCATAATCATGCATCTACAACTTTCTCAAGCATTCTTTTACATGACTATTAAAAGTCTTCACCAAATAAGGTTTTGTTAAAGAATCTTGCCAAGTTATATTTGATGCAATATTTGTCCAGTAGTGCTTTGTCGTAACTATCTAGTTTGGTATTAAACTCTTTAGGGATCCTGTTACCAAAACTATCCCAAGAGTATGCACCGAATTATGTTTTTCTTTAGCATTCTCCCAATACGATGAAGTACTACTAATATTACCTTCATTACCTTACGAGATTGAAATATTAGTGACTTCTACTATAGTGTTCATTGTTCAAACATTACTCCCACTCGATAAAGGCATATCATGTCTATTAACGTTCTCCCACTACTTAAATGCAATGGAACGTCAATTCCGACGTGTAGGTTTTGATGTTCTTGAGCATCTAGTTATTTCTTTGCCCAGTTCATGTAAAAATAGTTTACTTCTAGGAACATGTTTTATTAAACAGCCCTTATCTAGAAAAATGCATTTGTTTTAACAATTGCCTTATTTTCTTTAGGAAAATAAAATAAAACTACATTCGTTTTCTTGGATATTCACTAAACATGCACCTATTCATTCTTAGTTCCAACTTACATATCCGCTTTCTCTTTCAGCATATTTGCAGGACAATCCTATATCTGAACATGCCACAGACTGAGCTTACATCAGTCCACTGTTCTATAGATGTCCCAGGTGCTAACTTAGAAGGAACAAAATTCAGAATGTAATTTGCAGTTTCCAAGAAATATTCCAAAAACAAATAAGGCAAATCTGAATAACACGTCATTAATCTATCCATGTCCAAAAAAGACTTATTTCTTCTTTCTACTACACCACTCTATTATGGAGTTTACGGTGTAGTCAATTGAGATGTAATCCTTTATTCTGATAAGTAACAAAAGAACTCTTTAGAGAGGTGCTCACTACTACAATCAAATTGCAGTAACTTAATATATTTCCTTGGTGCTTCTCCGTTTCAAGTCTTAAAATCTTGAATTACTTAATTCATTAAGACTTACGGTGCATCAAATAAATATATTAATATTTTGAGTAATCATTTATGAACGTCACAAAAATACTCAAAACTATCTCTTACCAGTATGTTCATTTAACCATACAAATCAGAAGGGACTCATTCTAATTTATCACTTGCTTTATTTTCTTTGGAAGGGAAACAACCTTTAGTCAAATTTCCTTCCAAACAGGATCCACAAGTTGATAGTGCCTCTACTTTCAATGAACCTTAAGGTCCATCCTTGACCAACTTGAAATCCTATCCAGATTAATATAACTTAGACAAAAGTGCATAGATAAATTTTACTCAATTTTGAAGAACATATTCTCTTATGAGGTAGACTAATATTGTTCTGTTCAGGAGAGACATCAATATACAATAACAAGGTCATGCATTCATGTACTACAAGAGATAAAATGTTTATCAAGCTCAATAACTCAAGAGTTATTTGAAAAATAAAATAAAAATCCACCTCTTATTTTACCCAGAAACTGAATTCAATTCCTTCTAACAAAAAGTACATATATTGCATCCTTTAAATTAATGTCTTATCACTAAAAGAAAATTTTAATAAGTAATACGACAAATTGCATAAAATCATCGTAGAGTTGAGATAAAAACATTAAATAGATCATAATAAGTCAAAACACTGAATATTAAAATTCAGACTGCATTCAATATTTATATACATACATGCATCTTGAATAATAAATTTTGATGGGAAAGAATCATTCATGCAAAGTATATTATATAATGCAAGAATTATACAATCCAAAATAAATAGAACCAACTCAGATGGAGAGTATACTATTATTTTCAGTCAATTGTATATAACCTTTTAGTACAAAAATTTTAAACACACCACACATATATGTCATGCATCTTAAATAGCAATTTCGATGGGAAAAGAACTACTCATGCAACATACATATGTAATGCTAGATTATTCACTCCTATAATTAAAACAGACGCAACTCATATGGAGAGTATACTGTTAATTTAAGTCAAGTGAACATCATAATTAATAGCTCTAGTTCCATTGATCCAACATGTATACTCAGATGAAGAGTAAGTACACGATATCAATTACTAGTATTTCACCTAGTGAGCTTACATTAAATTTATCCGATATGGAGGAAGACCTAAAGTCAACGCGTAAATTTATTACTCACTTGAAATTAATAGTGGAAGACCATAGAAATATATTTCTATCACCACTTAATCATGATTGTATTTGAGTTACAAAATTGATTCAACCCTTTAAACTCAGATAAAAAATTAATACAGGTTATCAATAACTAGTAACTATATCCAGTGAGTTCATAATAAATTTATCCGATATGGAGGAAGACCTAATATTAACGCGTAAATTTATTATTTCACTATAAATAAAAAATGGAGACCATAAAAGTTAATTCCTATCACCACTTTATCACAACCACGAACTTTTCTCTGAGTATTAAGTTTCATAATTAAAAAAATGCTCAATACCCAATTTAAATAGTCTTAAAACGCTAAAATTAACGTTTTTCACTACATAGCAATGAGTATTGTTCACTGGGCTATTTCCGATAAACCTACCAAATTTCAGATCAATCGGAGATCGTTAAAATCACAATCTCTAAAAATTGCAACCATATTTGAAAAATTATTTTAAGAATTTAAAATATGACCTACATTCTTATCATATACCAATTCATGACAAATCAACATGCTCTATCATATTACAGATTAGATATAAATAAAATGATAGAAATAATTACTTTTCGTATGTAAATCACATTTAATCCGTCAAACCTCCAAACAACTCATCTAAACGATCTCGAATCGTCAAAATACGATGTGATTCACTACATAGAAGTGAGTTCTTCTTAACTGATCGTTTTCGATGATCCTACCGAATTCCAAGTCATTCGGAGATCGTGAAATTCACGTTCGCCAAAAACTTGACCAAATTCGAATAAATTATTTTTGGCGTAGTCAGGATTAAATCCATGTGATTTGCATTCTTGCTATATATCATATCAAGTTAAATCATCATGTTTCAGATTTAACACAAATATAGCCGATATATAAAGAATAATTTTTCATATTTATAACAAATTCAATTTAATAAACTGCTTGAAAAATCATCTAAACGACCTAAAAATGTCAAAAAATAACATGATTCACTGCATAGCAGTGAGTTTTTCTCACTAGATCGTTTTCAATTAACCTACCAAGTTTCAGGTCAATCGGAGTTCGTCAAATTCATGACCACCAGTCTGTAACCAAACTCGGAGAACAACCATTTTAAGTAGTTTAATGAATTAAGATAAATATGATATTGATTTCCATTCTCCTTATAATTATACTATGAGCTCAAGGCATATATTCTGTTCTTCCTATTTCTAGGATACATGATATCTCTTTTTGCAATAAATTATCCTTTTATTAAATACCCAAGAACCTAAGTGTCACGACCCCGATTCGCCCTCCGTGAACCATCGTGATGGCACCTAG